TTTAATTACAGCCATGCTGGTTCCAGGCAGAGAGGAAACAATTTCCACTGGGTCCATTGAGGCTGATCCTGGCCCTCTTCCCTCCCAGTGCAGATGCGTGGGCTTCATTAAAACAAGGCGGTCATTAGGGAAAACTTCCCAGACAAATGGGGTGTAAAGGAGACAAAAGCATTGTTTTGGTCCAAACAGGGTGGTAAGCCTGTCACTCACAAGACATAGTGCGGTGCTGGCTCATAGAAACCCCATCTTTGCTGTTCCTCAGGGCTGTCACTTCTGGGCCTTATTTGTGTACAGTATTTCTCTGCAACTTGTTCGTGTTGCCTCCTTCTCTGCTCCACTGATTCATTTGCAAGCCATGACTTCTCTCAAACTGAAGAAAGGACTCCTGGGGACAAACAGTCTCTGCACAGCACCTTGCACACTGAGCGGCTGGCAGGAGCTCCATGGAGACACTGGGACAAAGATTTGCTGTCACATTGGTGTGACGAGCTGCTGAGCTTGTTTCTGCCCTCTGAAGCTCATCCTCGTGATCTCTCCTTCCTCACATCATGTGCAGGCAACTACACTGAGCTTCTTTAGCCTGTCCCACCACAGCAGGTAAAGAAGCACTGGAAGCTTCAGGTCCAACCAGCCTCTCAAAGGATGATGTAGAATGGTTTATGTTGGAAGGAACCTTAAAGATCATTTGGGTTGGAAAAAACGGGATCCTTAAGGAATCTTTAAGTTCCCTTCCAACATAAACCATTCTCTGACTATCACTAGCACTATACCAGGTTGATTCTCTCCTATGATGAAAGGCTGAGAGAATTGGGCTTGTTCAGCCTGGAGAAGGGAAGGCTCTGGGGAGACCTTATAGCACCTTCCAGTGCCTGAAGGGGGCTACAGGGAAGCTGGGGGGGACTTTTTACAAGGGCCTGTAGTAACAGGACAAGGGGTAACGGGTTTAAATTGAAAGCAGGAAGGTTTAGATTAGATATCAGGAAGGAATTCTTCATGGAGAGGGTGGTGAAGCACTGGGACAGGTTGTCCAGAGAAGCTGTGGATGCCCCATCCCTGGAAGTGTCCAAGGCCAGGCTGGATGAGGCTTGGAGCAACCTGGGCTATGGAAGGTGTCCCTGCCCATGGCAGGGAGGTTGGAACTAGATGATCTTTAAGGTCCCTTCCAACCCAAACCAGTCTATGATTCTGTGACTGAAGTCTTGAAACCCCAAGGATGAAGACTCCCCACTCTCTGGGTCTTGTTCCAGCACTGTACCACCCTCTGGGAGGAGAAAACTTTCCAACCTAAACCTCTAAGGGCCATTTCCCCTGGTGACAGTGTCTGTCACCCTTGAAGAATTTGATTTCATCGTCTTCATAGCTGTCTGTCAGACAGCGTAGGCAGCAATTAGATCATTTCACAGCCTTTTCTCTGTGAGGCTAAACAAGCCCAGCTTCCTCAAGCTTTCCTAGTAAGCTGTGTTCCCCAGGTGCCTCACCATCTTGGTTTGGTAGTTCTCCATTGGACAACCTCCCTATCCTCCTTGAATTTGGAAGCCCAAAACAGGACACTGGGGTGCTGGTGCAGAAAGGAGAGCAACTTCCCTTGGTCTGCTGGGAACACTTCTCATATTCATAGTATCTTTTAGGTTGGAAAGGACCTTTAAGAGCACCAAGTCCAACCCTTAACCAACACAGCTCATACTACCGCTGACCCATGTCCCTGAGCACCTCATCCACACGGCTCTGAAACCTCTCCCTGGATGGTGACTCCCCCCTCCCTGGGCAGCATATTCCAATGCCTGACAGCCCTTTCTGGAAAGGCATTTTCCCTAATATCCAATCTAAACATCCCCCAGCACAAGTTGAAGCCGTTTCCTACCAATGCTGCCCTGGAAGTCTGTGCTCTAATGCCACGCAGCATGTGGTCTGACTTTTTCACAGTGGAGGTACCTTGTTGGCTCATTCAACCTCATGGCCTCCATACCCCAGATCCTTCTTGGCACAATTATTAATATGCTAGTGTAAAATCTCGTTATTCTAGTTGAAACTGATGTGCTGCAATCCCTCTCTTCTGTGTGTTTGGCTAAAATGATACTTGAACCCTGAATTCATTAGGATGTTCTTTATTTTGTAATACAGATGTGCAGGGTGTTGTTAAATGCTGCTGATCAGCTGCCAGAGGTGACTTAAGAGGTAGCAGAAACCTAGAGATGAGCACAGCAAACCCTGCCTGCTGTTCAGGGAGCATGTTTGGGGTCCAGCAGTGGATGCACCTATCTGTAAACCCAAAGTTTTCTGCTCTATATCAAACTGACCTAATTAAATTATGGCAGTGATAGGGTTTACCCACATAAATGTGGGTATTTTGCTTTTAAACGTGTAAGGACTTAAGGGACTATTTTAGGATTGAAATGGTCTTTAGAAAGACAAGGAAAAATTATAGCCCGGCATGTACTGCTGCAGGCATTCAACTTTTTTTTTTCCTGTGAGGCCGAATATGCAATGAGGTCCTTGTCAGTGGAAGGGCTTTGTGCCTCTTAAATTTAAGTAATTTTTTTCTTTCTTTTTAATTTATTGCTTTGGGCATTTCCCTCTTTGGTGTCTACACTTAATTGCATTACACTTCACATCTCCAGTGTGCAAGCCATGTACTGCAGCAAAGCTCAACATTGGTTAATGAAGGATGTGGGAGATGCTGTAATTTGTGAACCTGGCTGTGTTCCTGCTGGAGCAGGACTATAAATGCAAGTCTGTGTAGCAAATTTTTTCTTCCTTAGTTCTGGAGAAGGCTCATCTGGTTCATAATTACCATGGAAACAGCATTTTAAAACAGTCATTTGCACATCAAGTGAAGAACCTGACACTATCAGAGGGCCACTTGAAGGGACATCAGAGGGAAAACTTAAATATACTGAAGCTGAGCTAAGGAAGACCTTGGTGGTGGCATGAGTGAAGATTTTAGAAGAACCCTCTTTTCTTTCTTCCCTTGCTTCTGCTAACAGCTTGTCTGAATCCCTCCAGATCCCTTTTGTTATGGCTCTTTGAATCCTGAAGGAGGACCTGGACACGATGGGTCATGTTTGTTGAGCTTAAAGATTTGTTCTCCAAATCCTATTTGGGAGCTTTACTCCTGGACTGAATAGATAGGGCAGTTACCAGACTAGTGTTTGTGGCTGATGAATTATGCTGAATTAGAGTGGTGGGGAGAAGGTTGAGGTTTTGGCCTGCTTGCATGCAGCATTTGTCTGTTATAACAAAAAAAAAAAAAAGGCAACAAACCCCCCTGGCTCCTAGCCTTGGTCAGTTCATTGAATGAGCTGATGAGCAGGGATGAGGAAGGCTAGTGGGACCGTTTGACCTCAGCACTATGTTGTCAGATGATGAAACCCAATGTCTACTGCTGCATCATCCACAATGGTCTTGTCCTTGCTGTACCAGAGGATTGGTGTGGAGATAGTCCCCATCCAAGTCAACCTAATAATCTTTTTTTCTGAAAATCCACTGGAAAAAAATTGTGATCCAGGCCAGGTTTGAACTCTCAGAAGTTGCAAGAAGGGTTCTGGGGTTTGGCAACCTCTCTCCTGGTGTGATGGGGCCTGGGTGACCTTCTGTATTGCTGGCCAGGGGAAGGCAGTTGGGTCTCTTGTGTCTTGCTGTGGCTTTGCTGTAACGTGCTTTAATGACTTTAATCCAACTCCAGAGAAGTTTTACTGGGAAGCATATTGCTATTTAAGTGCAAACTTGACATTTGAGACCCATTGCTAGGCACAAGGGGCAGTGTCCTAGCGTGCTGATGCTGTGAGTAATGGTCTGCTTAGCCTGGTGCTCCTGGTCATAAAGTGTCATTGCCCGTTGGCTTCATGAACGTGATGAGGAGAGGATCTGAGCTGGATCTGCCTTCTGAAATGCAGCGTTGGAAAACCCAGTAACTGAAAGTGAGGAGCATACCTGGATAAATAGAGGAGAGAAGAAGATCAGTTTCAGTAGGAGAATTAAGCTGACCTCTTTGCCTGTTGGTTGGAGAGGTGGTGGGGGAAGAGCACTGCAATCCCAGCAGCTAAATCAGGGGTTGAATGTGGGTTACTGGTTTTAGAGCGGTGCTGTGGCCACTAAGCTATCGGAAAAACATGTGGCTTTGATGCTTTTGTGCTGCTAAGCCTTGATGAGATGGCAGCTGTTCTGTGTGTGGGCAGCGAAACTGTGGTAAATTCACTGGTGAGTGATGGCCTAGAGGAACGAAAGCTGGTTTGGAGATACGTGCTTTGAAGATAGACCTGTAGGATGTCATCTGTACCTCAGTATTGCTCTAAACTTGCTTCAGTCCCTGCTCCAATCATTCAGTGCGTCAGGATGTTGCTGCTGCCTCTTGCCAAGGTTGGATCACAGGGCCATTGAATCGATGATCTCTTACTTAGAGCTTTAAGGTAAATGGAAGGACCAGGACAAGGGAACTCACTGAGCCATAAAAAGCCCCACAGGCATCCTTCAGGCTGGGCAGACAAACCCTTCAGTTAGTTGAAGACGGGAAGGTCAGAAGGATGCAGTTCCTCTAGCCAGCCCTAATTTGTGATGTCCTGACTACAACTCCTGACTGTATCCCCTCTTGCAGGATTAGACTTTCTCTCCAGTCCATTGGAATAAGAGACCATCAGATTGTTACAGGAGAGCTAATTTATTCCATCAGCTCGTCCCTCTGCAAACAGTTTGTGTCTTTATTACATAGCACACCTATGCACAGCAACATGAATTTTCTTCCCCTATCCTTCATACTATCTCTGTATTGTACTTATTAGTCTGAGAACATGGGACAGCATTGGATCTATTGTTTAGGCAAACACCACCACACGCGGGGGTACTTTTCCCTTGTTTACAGGGAGTATGTTTTGGAAAACTCAAGCCCTTGTCCTGTGTGATTTTTTTAATTTTAATTTTCCACAAGAGATCAAAGGACAAACCACAGTCAAAGCTGCTATGGTGTTGAATCTCTTCTTAATCTGTAGTTCACACTTATCTTTCAGGTTTTTATATAACCGAATGGGATATTGGAGTGACTGGTCCATTCCAATACTTGTAACAACTGCTGCTGGCTTTACGTACATTACAGTGTTATTGGTGAGTAGAATAAAATGCCATTTCCTAGAAGTTTGTGCGTTTGTTTTAAAAAGGGTGTGAACTTCTCAGTCCACCTACGACCTGAGCAATTTTCCTTTCAGAAGTGATTTCTCTCTCCCGTCCTCTCAACTTAAGTTGCCTAAAATAAATGGAAAGTGAAACATACGTGGTCTTTGACCTCATATGATCAAGAGCAAAGATAGGGACCCTGATACAGGCACTGTAGTTGGCCTGAGGAAAAAATATAGGTTTTGGTTCATTTAGTATGGCCCCAAGCCTGCTTTGGTGTATCTGCCAATCACCAGTGCAAGTTATTTCTTCCCATCCCAGGGTACTGGGACCTCCAAGGTGTTATCCACTCAGGTACTATGCTGGTACCTGCCCCCATGTAGTCAGTGCTTCCTGCAGTCTCAGGATTGTGCACCCATGGACCAGACTCTCAACTCCCTGCCTCTTGGAGGTCAAACTCTATCCTTGGCTTTGGAGAAGATCTGTATGTACAGATGAGCCAAGTGGTGTCTGCTACACCATCCCCAGCCCTGCTTTCTGCCCTGGCCCATTTGGTTATCTTTTTGGGCGGTGGTGTGGTCCTGCACATGCAAGCACATAAGGGTTGTGATGTGCCGTTGTCTGACTCCTCATTTCTTCTTCCCAGATACTAGCACTATGTCACATAGCTGTGGGACAGCAAATGAACCTGCACTGGCTTCACAAGGTAAATGGCTCTTCTCATCCTGCAAAAGAGCAGGATCTCAATAAAAAATAGGAGTCTAAGGAACAGGTGGTGTATGTGGTATTTGCTTTCAGGGTGTTTTTGGGAAGAGCATGAACTTGAGATGTTTGTGGTACATGTGTCCTCATCTCAGAGGACTGAGGAAATTCCACAGCAGGGTCAGTCAAAGCCTGGGGACAATAACTTTGCTCCATGGTTGATGAAATGCTTTGGGGTACCTGCTGACTGGGGGACCCTTTTGGAGACTGAGAAACACAGTGTCATTAGACCACATTAGTGGTCTTGGCTGAGGGTGGTTCTGTTATGAACGTATCTAGTGCTCCTTTCTCTGCTGA